TGAAGAAAACTTTCAATCGAAGAAAATAAAAGACGATATGAATGCTAAGTTATTCAAACTTTTTTTGGGTTGAAAGTTCTAATTTGATATTTTCATGACTTCAACATTGAGTTTACAATGAAATGTTTTCTTCTTTTTAATTTCCAACAAGGCTGCGGCTCACGCTTTTCCCGAGAAGACTCATAATCGCCATGTAAAAATTCAAGTCCATTAAAACAACAAAACACATCATAATATTTTTAATGACTCGAGTCTAGCGCATAACCTTTCGAACGAAGATTATTTATGGTTTCATTCATTATTCAACAAATTTGCTTCTGAAGGTTGTTCTTCAATGACGTTAAACTTTGGAGCAGTTAGGGATGATGAGAGACTATATGACATCCTACTCTCATGGGTAGGAGAGAGGGTCAGCAAGCTACGTTAAGATTCAACGAATTTAAAAAAATTATATTATTTGACTGACATCATTTGTGCATGACCCCTATTGTATTATGAAAAATATGATACATACACTTGATGACAGATTTCAATGGGTAGCAATTAAGCAAATTTAAAAAAAAATAAGGGAGAAGTGTAGAACTTTATTCATATCAATTAAATTCAATTCAAAAGAATTGCTGTATTATTCTCACAGTGTTCGCTGCTACTGTTGGTGATTTTATTTTTCATTCTCTCGACTGTATTTAAGTTTTTATTTCTTTGATTTTGTTATTCTTATAATTTTTCTACATTCATACAACAACTTATCAAACTGCTGAATCAAATTCAATCAGAATGTGAAAGAGAGATAGATAAACATACACATAGACACACGCTATTTGGATGTTGATTGATTTCGAGTGCCATTTTTTGTTATTTTCATTTTGATGATGATTAAATCTGCTTGTATGAAAAGGAAAATGGTAAAAAGAAGGGAAATATGGATGAATGGATGTGAAAAATGTTTTTTTCATATGTGATACTATGAATACGATAAAAATATATTTTTTCCAGGGCTGTTATCTTAGTTTCGAATTTTTTTCCATTTTATTGCTTTTCGCCAGTATTTCGTGTTATTGAATGAAGGATTGTACCCAATGCTAGCAAACAGAAATTTTTGAGTTCTTATTATTCGAACTTCGAATTTTTGAGGTTCTTATTTTTCGAAAATCGAATCTTCGAAGTTCTTATTTTTAAAAAAATTCGTTGTGAATTATTATTTTTCGAGAAATTTGTAATTTTAGTGAACATTCCTACTAGTTTTTATGATTAAGATAATCACTGTGATGAAATTGCATTCCTTAAATGTTTATGCTTTAAAAAACAGCTAGTTTAAAAAAAAAATAAAAAGTAACGGACTTTCTTATTTTGAAATTTTAAAAAAATACCGCGCGAAAATTTTGAATTTTTTTTGTTTGTAACGGACTCTGTTCTCTTTGCTAACATTGGGATTGTACGGTACAGCTATTGCATTGAGATGTAAGAGTAATAATTACGCAACTTTCTATAATTCTTTGAATCTAGTTTTTTTATTTGTGCAATAGAGTTTCAGTAACCTATATTGTAGCCCAATAAATACGCAACTCGAGTGTACTTGCACTACTAAAATAATGTTCATAAGTTGTTTATATAGGTAGGATACTAAGTTTACTGCTCGGTTGCTTCTATGTTCTCAATTATGCTAAGCTGGTTTAGACTTTCCCCCCCCCCCCCCCCCCCAACTTGTTAATACCATGTATAATCAGTGATGTCTAATCCGTGTGCCGTGGTACAAAATAGATTGGACACCACTGATGTATATAATCATAAAAGACATTTAAATCATCAATTTATTCTTAATCCCAAAAAACTTTTAACAAGATTTAAAGACCAATTTTCTGACAATAATTCTCTTGTGTATTAAATAAATTGTCAGAATTAATAATAATGTTTTCAGGAAATATCCAGAAACTTCCTATAAAAACAAAAAAGTTCTGGAAAATTTCCATTATTCATCATGAGGACGGAAAACTATTAAAATTTCCGGAGGCTTCCACGATGCACAAGCACAAAAATGTATAATCCTTTCCACATGCATTTTAATACATAATTGCAGCACATACCAGACGTCAACCATAATTGCATACAGAAATAAACGAAGCCAGATTTTTTTCACACATTCAACAAGGTTTAGAAAATAACAACAACTACTCAGAACTCAACAAATGGGTGAAAATTTTTTAAAATTAAATTATATGCAAAAAGCTTGTCAATAACTCTGATGAATGAAGTTTATCGTATACGTGGGTGGAATAAGTGTATTGTTGTGAGAGAATTAAGATAAAAACAAGCGAAATAAACAAGTGAAAATTTTCGTGCAAAAACTACAATGAATTATTTTGATTGTATGTATCTAGTGTCTCAATCTATTTATGAAATGACACGTGGAATGAATTTTCAAATTTACACAAGAATTTAAGTTTCTTTTACATGCTTTATAATCTACTTCCGACATACTTAACGTGTTACTATATTTTTTTATTTGCGTTTTTGTAACGAAAATGTTGCTAGTAGCTGGTAGTTTGTAGCTAGAAGTTTACATCTACTAGCTAGGTAAAAGTGGCTAGTAGCTAGTTGCTAATTGCTTGTAGCTAGTCAATAGTAGCTAATTGTCCAAAGCTAGGAGCGTGTCGGTATGTCCATTAATCTGTTCGTTTTTTTTATTTCAAGATATAAATTTCAAAACCACGTATTCAGGGGCGTAGCCAGGAATTTGAAGAGGGGGATAAAAAAAAATTTCTAATGGAAAATTTGAAGACTAGAATTTTTTTCATAAAAACCGTAGCAAAATAAGAAAAAATCTGTTGGGGGATGTCACCCAAATCCCTATCCTGGATACGCGCGTGCACGTAAAACTACTTATATCTCTAAAAAATGTAATGTGTTGTGTCAAAAGTATTTGGCAAATTAGGGCAAATTCATGATGGCTTTATCTACAACAAAATTGTAATGGATTTTTTTTCCTTGTTGAATTTATCGATCAACAATCATAAATTTTACTTTTGCACTTCTATATTAACACACCAAATGGGACTTTTCATTATTATTATATTTGCAATTGTCGCTTGTGTAAATGTTTGATAAGCTCTATGAGCGATGAATATAAATATAGATTGCATACCTTGTGTCTGGAAACCTTTCATCGGTATGATGTCTTCTAAACGTCCTTGAAGCTGATTTCAAGCCCATCATTTAAATTCTTTTTTTCCTGTTCTTTACAAACCTGACACGCAATTTTTTTACACTGCAAAAACTTTCACAAAACAACCAAAAAATATTTTTTTCCACTTTTTCAAGTTTTCCGCTTTTAAAGACAAAAATTTTTTGTTTATTTTAATTTTATCACAATCAATTTGAAGAATTTGGACAGAATTTCACGAGTATGGCACTAAGAAAATCAAAAATGAGGAAATTAAGCAAGTTTTTGGCTATTTGATCACAATATTCGCACTAAAAATCTTTAATTGAACCATTATATTAATTGAATTTCAAAGTTTTCTCGATGCTTTAAGGCAAAACACTGTGAAAATGAAACCAAATGTCTCTTTTGCTTTGCAATCATTTTTCAAATCGTGGAAAAAGTTTCTTTTTATTCCTTAATTTCCCATTCTCTCGTGCCGACTGGAAGAATTTTCCATTCCAGTCGTTAAAAGTTGTGAACTGGAAAAGCACATGAAAATGCTCACAGATGTCGCATGAACCGGCAAAACAACTCAATTTGATATGATAACGTAAAGTGGCATGAATTTAAATTTTTTTGCCATTTCATTCTGGTCTGCATTTTAACATAAAAAATATTCTGTTCTCATGATTTCCATTTAAATTGCATATCAGGTTCCATGTGTCTATCATTATTGTTACTTATTCATTCATGGAATGAAATAAGAAGAAGCAATCAAGTACGAAATGTTGCGATAGATAATGTTGATTGGAATTAGAGATACCGATTGTTGAACATGAACACAGGCAGAACGAAAATGTTTATTCTTACAATTTACATAAACAGTCCATAGTAAATGTTGAGATATGTACGGAATTGAAATCTATCAATGTATCAATATCATACGAGAATATGGAATGAGGTGAGATGCTCGTATAAAAGGTTTACAATCAGATCGTAAGTAAAGATCAATAAAATTCAGGAAATGTTGAAGTTTGAAATTCTGCATTGGTTTGCTCAAATAACTTCTTAAGTGTTCTTGTAATTTCTGCTTTAAGGCATTTGTTTTGTGCATAAGAGACTGCAAATGACATGGTTGAGTAACCCTAACATTATTTAAAGGTGTTTGAATGAAATATTTGAGAAACATTTGTATTAAAGTCAATAAATCTCAACCAAGTCGTGTCCTTTTTTTTTTGACAATATGCATCTGTCTTCTCTAGTTGTATGCAGAAATCTGTGACAAGCTGTTTCTCAGTTCTCATAAAAAAAGTGTTACAAGAAAGTTTAAACTTTATAGGCTGTGCAACTTTCTTGCATATATGCTCCAGACTAATCCACTTGAGCCAACCAGACAAGATTCTAATGCCCTGGCTATTCCATCCATTGCTACATATTTATAAATAGCTGTTAGACGTTCCTTAAAAATCACATTAAAATAATCTTCGTCATCTTGACACTTCAGTTAGAAAGACATAAATAAAAATCTCACAAACTCTTTCCAATAATTAGATAATTCTACACAACCTAGCAAAATCGTAATAAATGAAATGTACAAACCGCCTTAACCACTCAGCTAATCTTCATGCTAACACATTATAAACAAAAGTTGGAAAGAAAAACAGAAGAATTGTGTAAACATCTAAATACACTTGATATGATTACACAATGTGTATAATAAAAATGAAGCGCCAAAGAACAATGTTCTTGTAATGCGACTGGCAAGAATTTTACCGTTAATCTCACAACAAGTCGTGAAACACATTAATTCGAAAGTATAAATTCGATGATGATTTTATTAATTTACTTTAGTCGCATTCGAACAGTTCAATTGTGAGGTAAATCGATAGTCCGTAAACCGCGAAGAAAAAGTTTTGAAGAATTTTTTTAACTGCATAATTTCATTGGCATTGGGATAGGTTAAGAATGGCTGTGAAAATTTTGTTGACATTGTTGACTATTTTAAAGTTAATCTTCGTTAATGCTCAAATACCGAGTTTTGGACGTTGTCCAGAATATGACGCAATGCCTGCTTTTGATAAGGAAAAGTTTTTAGGCTCGTGGTATGAGATTGAACGATATTTTACAGTAACAGAAGTCGTATCAAAGTGCATATCTGCTGATTATGAGAGGAGAGCTGATGGAAAAATTTATGTCAAAAATTACTACACGAATCGGATGTAAGCCAACATTTACTGTTCCTTAATTGCTATCAGAAAATTACCATCAACTTTATTTCTTTGCAGTAATAACGTTCAACGTATCATTTCTGGTAAATTGTCAATCACGGGAAAGGGAGGCGAGGGAAGATTTAATGTTAGATATGAATCATTTCCATTAAGCTATGATGCATCTCTCGGTAAGCTTACTCGGTAATGTTAATTGACACGTGCTGACATTGCAACTTTTTTGTGATTATTATTTTATCTTAGTTGTGCTGGATACTGACTATAAAAATTATGCAGTCATTTGGTCTTGCAGTAATGTCACTTCATTAGGACATACTGAAAGTGCTTGGGTGAGTAAATTGGATATTTTATATTAAGATTGTGAATGACATGATAGGATTAGAAATTATGAGAATGGTGCATGAATGTTAAGAACTGAAGCATAGTGAGAAGATGATTTAAAGGGCTTAGTTGTTGATGTATCTTAACGGATTGGCGCGAAAATTTATTTTCTGATATCTTAATTGATGACAAACGTCTTCGTTCTATTAAAAATCTCAAATGTCTACAAAAGATCCACTATCACATCATTTACAAACTTATAATTCAATCGTCGTTAAAACTACATTTAAGAGAATCTAAAAATAATTTTCCGTAAACTTACATTTTATAAATTATCAATCATTATCAAGTTTAATGTAAAGTCATTAGAATTATTTTTAGAATCACATTTTATATTCATTCTCAACAATTAAGCTTCCATTAATTCTCCTAATCTTCCTCAGTTAATGTCCCGTCAGCGAAATCCTCGGGGAGAAATTTTACAAGCAGCTTACGGTGTTTTAGACAAATATAAAATGAACCGCTCATTTTTCGTTAAGAGTGACCAAATTGATTGCGAGACTTTACCTCCAATTCAAGAAGCAATTGACCCGACAGAAGCATCAGCTACAAAAAATAAAGACAATGAAAAGACTGAAAATGTTACCGAGAATGTGACAATTATTCCAGAAGAGATGACAGAATTTAATAGCACAGAAGCGTCAACATGATTTATATTTGATAGGAGTTGTTTGCCTTTAATGCCATATGATTAAATTGAAATTACTAGTTATGAGGAGGGGACAAGAGATCCCTATTTTTATATTTTTCTAAGGCTGCAACCCCATCCTTGCCCAATTTAGACCCCTTAAGGATTTAGAACTCCAAATTTTTGGTAGACGTCATAAGCGAACGACCCCTTAACATAGCTTCAATTAAGAAAATAATTTTTTTTGTATTTCTCGTTGTGAGTTTAAAACATTTTGTAATAATAAAAGTACTTTAGTGACGATAAGAAATGTTAATAGGAATTTTTGTCTCTATCAAACTTTATGCTTTGTTGCTGTGCATAACATGCATTTATTAAGGGATTATGTTGTTGGTGTACATTGCTTCATTCTTAGTTGAATTTATCTATTCTGTAGAATAAAATGTCAGACGCTCATTAATTTTGTTCTATCCACTGTCAAGTCATTGTATTTTAAAGATAAACATAACAAAAAAGTTAGCTTAGCTTAGTGAGCAGAAAATGCGATAACTTCAAATTTATGTCAAATAATGCTCATACCCAAATTCTGTTTCCAAGAAAAATTTCATATATGAGCAAATATTTTTTTGAATGAAAAGCGATAAAATTTATTTTCAATGCTGATGCATTAATAGATTACATGGCTTCAAGTTTGTTCTTCAAGATCCTCTCGAACAGCTACAGAGGCCTTAGTCTCGCAATTGCAAAACTGCTCGATACCTCAGCATTTACTCAATTATGACAAAACAGATTAAATAAAATAAAATATTTTCACGAGACTCCCATCATATCCCCACAAATCACATCATCATTACCCAAAATTATGACTTAAATTTCCTTGAATTTTTTGTTCTAATTGTTTTCTTAGCGCACATAAAAACGCTCAACATTTTCTCATATTTTTCACTTTCGAAGAATTTTTATTAAGAAACTTTATCCATTAAATTGTTGATCAAAGACTTTTTTGTCTTCTTGCTTTTTGCTACTTCATTCATTCACTCGCTTGCAAAAATAACTTAGCAAAAAGGAAATGAATAATTTTTTAAAGGCGTTAAACAATGAGAAAGTTTATCAAGCCTTTTCCTCGCTGATGGAAGCATACATCATCAAAATTTTCATCAGAAAATGCTTTTGTTTTTCTTATGATTCTTTGTATTCGACTTAGATAATACGCATACATGTGTATCCAATGATATGGAGGCAACATATTTTGTTGTAGGGTAGAGTTTTTACAACTTTGTCTGGAACTCCAAAATGAGGATGATGTTTTAATTTTTGGTCTAATTACTCATTCAGAGTCCCGTCTAGATATTTAACCAGTAAATAATTGTGAAAACTACGTATCCCATTCACGAAAACCTAAATTTGTTAATAAGTCTTCAAAATTCTAGCTCAAAATATTCACTAAATCTACTGCTTAAGGCTCAGTTCGTGTTAATATCTGCAACCTAATAAAATTTGCATGAAGTTCTTGTTAAAATGCGTCATTTTTATTCTTTTCCTCAATAAGTATCAACAGCATAAACAAATTTGCATAAAAAGACTATTAAAATGCGTCTCATTCATCTACTCGAATTGCTGGTACATTCTCATACCTCACATCATATCGTGTATATGTTTTTCTTCATCATTCATTCTATACACGCTCATGCTATTAGATTGTTAAGACAAAATAAAGAAAAGAATAACAAAAACACGAGAAACAGCAGCAACAATTCGATCTATGAACACGGAGAAAAGAAGAAAGGAGGAAGAGAAATATTGAAAGTTTATCAGAGAAAAAGAGGTGTAAAAAATATTTTACAACTTGTACCGTTTCTTCTCTAATCATATTATTTGTGAATGTGTTTAGATATTAAAACAGTCTTCGTGCTATTAATTTGGGGACAAGAGCGCATTTGTTAATATTATGCTTTTCTATCTATCAGATGAGATGGTTAAGTATTTTTATAGATCTTTGACTATCCATTTAGTTAAAGGTGTGACAAGATATATTTCGAGTCTAAATACATCCAAGTGGGTAAGAAGGCATTCCATAGATTTATGAGTCAATTACCTAAGAAAACAGCCAATCGAGTAACTATGAAAGCAGCCTGGTACACAACCAGCCATCCAACCATCTCATCAGCCAGTGAATCATCCAAACTACAAGTCAATCTTTTGCATATCCATCTATTATGACGACAATAAGCTACTCAGACATTTACTATTTGCCAGACAAAATGTGCAGCTCACACCCCTTTTTTAGAAATCCTTTAAAAACTAGACAACGGAATTAATTTCTCGACATTAAGAGATTCTTTAACATGATGTTGTATCAGTTGGATTTTATCTGGGCTTTTGGTGACACGCGCAATTTCTCACCTCGTTATGAGTGCGAAAATAATTTATTTAATTTTTTTGGTTGTCATTTTGAAGGCTGATGGACAGGTGCCGTCATTCGGAAGGTAAGAACATGAATTATTTTGATTGATTGACTGTAATTTGCTAAATTCCCATATCCATTTTAGATGTAGAAATCAGTTCAAGCCAATGAGAGATTTTCAAAAGTTGAAATTTATGGGCCAATGGTTTGAGGTCGAGCGATTCTACACAGTTAGAGATTACATTGCAAGTTGCATATCTGTAACATTCGACCGCTTTGAAAATGGAAAAATTTATGTCAATAACGAGTACACAAATCGATTGTGAGTAAATAAAATTAAAAAATAATTTTTTTTGATGAAGCGCAAGTGGCACTTGACATTTGTATACTGTTTTCTAGGACACAACGGCGCGAAACATTGACGGGGAAATTTAAATTAACAGAAGGTGAAAATGTTGGGACTTTCACAGTTCGATATGATTTATTGCCGAGCTATTTAAACTTTGAAGTGCTGCCTGACATCATTCAAAGGTTTAATGCCACAATTAAAATTTTGAATACCGATTACGATAGTTTTGCAGTTCTATGGTCATGCCGTGATCTTGGTCGATATGGACATGCTGAAAATTCTTGGTTATTGACACGAGAACAACATCCATCAGAGGAAATTCTACAAACAGCTTACGGGCACCTTGATAGACTCGGATTGAGAAATTACTTTACAAAATCCCAGCAAGAAGGATGCACTTGATGAAAATTTTTATGACTGCTTTTATAGTCACATCACGATTTCATCAACATCTCGAATGGAATCAATAGCATTAAATTTCTTTTATTTATTGTTATCTATTCGATAAATTTTATTTTTTGTATAAATTTGATGCAGTCGCAATAAACTCATTCAGTTGTTTGGAAATTCAGTTCGCACGTTTTAAAATTCAATCATAATATCTAGTGTCAAAAATAAAAAAAAAGGAAAATTATGAGTTCAATTTTTATATTTTTAGCAATCGCATTTGTAGTTTCCGACATTTCCGTAGCCCAACAGCCACTCGTGAGAGATGGATGTCCAGATTCTTGCAGTACTATGGATGTTCGAATGTCAAATGACAAGGTAAGAAGAATTAAATTTTTCGTAACGTGCAAGGTGTAAGAGTCATTAATTTTCCTTCCTTGTAAATTTCATGGAGGTTTATAAAATTGTGTCAATATTTTATTTTATTACACGTTCGGAAGATCTTAGCTTGTTGATATCTTCGTTCTATTTTTTTCATGCTGTCACTATTGTGATGGGTTTTGTTTGTTATTTGTTTTCTTGTTATTTATAACTTCTTAATGTTTTAAAAAGTCTAGGGATTGCTGTTAAATGACGTCAAATAAATGATTTAGATAGAACAGAAAACTCTGTCTCCCAAGCGGCACATTGTGATAAATCACTATGACCACCCTTATCCTTTTGACACGTTTTGTCGTTGATGTGATAACTTAGCTGTACTCTGACCAAGTATGACTGGGATGTTGGATATAAGCCTTACCTTTCTTACTTGCTTTACTTTCAATTAATTACGTGAATTGCTTTAGTAAAGCTTAAGATCATTCAGTGTCGTTAATTCTTATTGGACGTCATTTATTAACAATTTTTGAATCTCTCAAAATACTCTAAAACGTTTTGATACTAATGTGCAAAATCTGATGTCAGTTTTGAGCTTTTAACGGGGAGAAAACTACTTGGATGGTAAACATTTTGATTGGAAATTTAAAAAATGGGAAAAATGGTAAAAAATGGTAAAAATTATAAAAATGGTAAAAAACGAAAAATGATAATTTTACCTTTTTCTCTTTTTTACTATTTTTGAAGGAAAATTTCCCGTTTTTACCCATCAAGTAGTTTCCCCCCTGGCTTTTAAGCGATAAAAATAACAATGCTATAAAGTCTTTAAGGAATTAAACTTTTGAAATTTAATTTTACGATTTTCTATCTAAAATTTCCAACCTTCATCTCAGAATCAAACATTGCTACAACTTCTTTCAATGAGAAAATAACAATAAAGTCAAATATTTATTTCATTTCACATCCTTTTAAAGCTCGCTGGAATTTGGTATTTACACGCGAGTATTCCTCGCTTCTTTGAAGAAGAGATGAAATGCACTTACATCAATGTCACGGAATTGGAAGAAGATCATCTTTATTTTGTGAAACATGAGTTCAATAATAAGTAGGTTGAGTGTGTTTTGATAAATTTAAGAATTTTCTTATTTCAAATGAACATATAAATGTTTTGTTCAATGCAGCACGAACGAGCCTAGGGAGACATTTGGGGCGATTGAGTTTGCAAAGGATGGAGCTACAAATATTTACTATACCGATTGTACGACTGAATTGTATTATTATTTTCAGATTTTTGCGGATGATAATGTAGATTTTGATTTTTTTAAAAAAATTTAATACTCAAATTTTTGTATTGTTCAAAAAGCTCTAATTTGATCAAAAAGCTTTGATTTGATTAAAAAGCTTTTATTTGTTCAAAAAGCTTCAATTTATACAAACAGCTATGATTTGTTCAAAAAGCTTTGATTTGTTAAAAAAAGCTTTGATTTGTTAAAATATCATTGATTTGTTCAAAAAGCTTTGATTTGTTCAAGAAGCTTTGATTTGTTCAAAAAGCTTTGATTTGATCAAAAGACTATTTTGCTTAAAAAATCTATCTTTTTAAAATTCTAAAATTCTTCCAAAAAGCATTCAAAATTTTCCAAGAATCAAAAAAAAAATTACTCAAAAGGTTAAATTTATCAACAATCTTACTTTCTTTCTCACGTTTAAAAAAATTACAGTATTTCTTCCATTCGCTTATGATACAATTGCTTTGAGCGACGGTAAGATTACTTTTAATCTTAAGTTTCTTGTTAAATTTTAAAAAGATTATTCTTAATATGTAGATTATTGGGTCTTGACTACTTGCAATGAACATGGATTTTATTCATCAGATGGATCTGGATGTAAGTCATTCTACATTCTTCTTCTATGAATCGATTAAAAAAATTTATGCCTTGTAATTCCAGCCTATGCTTATATCTTCACGAGGCTACAATATCCACCATGTGAAATGAATTCAGAGATTGTAGATATTTTGGGAGAGTGTGGAATCGACAAAGACTATTTGATGGAACAGGACCAAAACAGTTGCTCATTTTGCTGATTATCAAATAATATTAATGTAAAATAAAGACTTAAGTAAACTTCACTAAAAATTAACGGTTTTAATTTATTCAAACCTGTAGAAGCTCAAAGAAAAGCTTTCACATCAAAAGCTCATTTTCAAATATTTTAACGACATTTTGCAACCAAAAAAAGAATTGAAAGTGAAATTATCATCTATCTTGATATGCTGTTTCGTCACGTTTGCGTGATGCTTTAATTCCCAGAATAACAAATTTAATAACAGACAGTAAAATAATCTACATTTTTGCAGTCGAGCTTGATACACATCATCAAATCCATGAGCTCTATTTTGAATAATCTCAGTTTTTGTTTATCGCAGTAGAGGAAATGCTTTATACTGCCTCAAGCTCATTAAAAATGTTCTGACGACATGATCGCTCAGTCAGTCGGTGTTTAGATTTACTACAAACAACATTCGATAGACGTAAGAAGATTTATTTTTTGTTCTATATTTTTTTTTATTCCTTACGTTAGTTCCGAAAAAATAATTCTTTTTTGTGGATTAGAAACGCATGTAAATGAATCACGGGTAGCTAGTGCATGTGATAAATATTGATAAACAATAAATAGTTTATGTGCTTTTACTGTGTCTGATGCTTTATAAATATTTATTCTGTTTGCGCAAAAAATATTGAGTTTAAAAAGTTTGTTTAATGACACAATTTGTAGATTTAATGACTGAATAATATTTGAAACTCAAGCGAGCATTTTCGTGCACGAATTTTGTGAATAAATTAATTTGCTCCTTTGATTGAAAATTGGAGCTTGTGTTTTGCTTCCTTAGTAATTATTGCAAGTGTTCATTAGGAGCTTACTGTGTTGTAAATATGCTAAGTGTATAGTAGGTTCTAGAATAAAGTATATGTTACTTTAAAAAAATGCATTAATTGAGATTCTAATTTAATAAGTAGTAATCCATTATTCGTTCGCTATCTGTTGCCAAGATAATATCATTTGATTACAGAGGCAAAGTCACGTGTGAGTTCAGGATTTTCCTATTTAGAAAAATGTCTGCAAACTTGCAAGGGTTTTTGAATTTAATATACCCCAAAATACTCGTTAAATAACAGCTGCATTAAAGACTATTGTAAAGTTCTTAATTAATAATTGTGACTCATTCTTTAAATATGTAAAAAGAATTCTGCTCTTTAATTTGCATATGTTTACATTATTTAATTATTATATTTCTGCACTAGTATCCTATAAGTGATCAACAATAATGAAAAAATGAAATTAATCTCCCATTTACTTATTCTTTGTTTGAAAACAGAAAAGTTCATGAACATATAATTTATTTGCTGATAAGCAGAATTTAAATCGCGCAATTCGAAGATCAAGAAGAGCGTTTGTTTATTTATGTAAATATGGACTGCAATATAGCTCAATAATACCCTATAAACAGGGGCGTAGCCAGAAATTTGAAGAGGGAGGACAAATTTTTTTTTTGTATGGAAAAATTTAAGGGGGGGGGGGGGGGGTATTTTTGTGATTTTTTCATAAAAACCCTAGCAAAATAAAGAAATTTCTGTTTATGTTGGGGGATTTGTCCCTCAAATTCCACCCCTCCCCTTCCCCCCTGGCTACGCGCCTATCTATAAAATGTCGATAATGCTTTTGAAATTAATAAATTATTTAAGAGCTTTTTTTTTCATTTTTCAAAGTATTACTGGATGATAAATATTTTATTTATATGAATGTTGGGATACCATTGCTATGAAAATGTTTAGGTACAGTATTGTGCCTATGTTGCCTTAGTTGTGGAAATTAATGATAGCTTCCCGGTGAATATAAGGCTCAATTTAGAAGTCACATGGAGTAAAGAATTTATATACATATTTTGCATAAGACTGACGCTTCCTGTGTGCTCATTAGGTTTAAGGCATATGTTGGTATATCTCTCTGGATAAGAATTAGGCCGCAGTGGCTGTTTTTTCAAACAAAGGACACAAAATAGATCTTTTACTCAAAGGAATGTGAGTTCAATTCTCACCATTAAAAATGGTAGCTACATCAAGAATATCTTTGATATGCATAAACTCTTGTCGAATTCTCTTACAAAACTTTCAAATGTCAAAAGAAGTCAATAGCTCTAAAATAAAATTAACTCTTTTAATTCTCAGTGCGTTGCTAATAATTCAGTTGTGCACAGCTCGGGATAATTCATTGAAATTTTAATTTTTTCAAAATGTTAAAAACAATCAATATAAGTAGGCACAATAGAAGTAATTGAGTCAGAATAAATTCTAAACTTGACAACCTTCAAACGAAAAAATCTTTCCTGCTTGATATTAAATAACTCCTCGAATAGAAAACAACATTTCAATTGATTGACTTATAATTTCTGCAATTTTATTATAAATAATTCTTATTACGTTTTTTTCTTCTCTAGTTTATTCTATTTGATTTTATTTTCTTTCATGCACGTCATAAATTAATTTTTATGTGGAGTCGACAATTTGGGGTTGATTTTAAATTACGTCTATCAAAAAATAAAATTTTTACCCACTCTTTGTTATAACTTATAAGTTGTCACTTTGTAGATGTCACAAAATCCTAAACCCTCTTCGCTTAAATACGAGACGTAATTTATGAACGTTTTCAAGTCAACTTGACTTTTTTTTCAATGAATCTATTTCAAAAGTTTTTAATTATTTAAAATATTATTACGTAAATAGTTGTGTGTAGCAATTATTGACAAGAGATATTTGATGAGTAAAAATTACTTAATGACATGTGATGACATGAATTAGATATTTTAATATGTAATTAATGTTTATAGGAAATGAGTGTTGATAAGTTAAATTGTTTGTGGGAAATTTTGATAAATAAAGTCTAAATTCTTTCAACTAGAAACCAAATAAAATCTTTAAAAAGTTCTAAATGCGATGCTTCACCAGATCAAAAGCATTGCCCGGGCTGAATAAGATCCAGATCTATGAGAAAAATTATTTTTTTCTTAATATAATCTTTTGAAATAATGCTTTAAAATTGAAGGAAATTGCTGTTTGGTTCAAAATTGTGATTCAAAAACTCCTTACGACAGCCACATACATTACATTTTCCCTCAAATTCTCAATTTTACGTTCTCAACTTCAACTCTCTTCAAGTTAAGATCAATGACTTTTAACTTCATTAAGTTAATCAACTTTTCTTTGTAATTAAGTTCATCGTACTATAGATAGACAGAATGTTTTTTTACTGCCTCATAACTTAGCTTAATAGTTCATTTTTGCACAATATTAAGGAGTTATTTTTTCTGGTCTGGAGTTTGCCAGCAAATTGATGAAACAAAGAAACAACTGACGTCTGTTTTAAAAAATGCTTTCATAATTTTATAACAGTAAATTCATTATTTTATCCTCAATATCAGCAAGAGTTTATCCAAGCACTTGTATGTGTTTGAACTTTTTGTTCTCATTCAAAAAATTAAAATTTTGGAGAGTGTCATAGAGTTGTATTTAAAGACAAATAATTGAAGGTCTTATATTGTAAATATACAATGCGCTTCTACAGAAACAACAATAAACAAGGCAAAGAAATTGTTTCCATGGTATTTGTTCCAGCACTTGAAGATTATAGTGTGATAGCACATTAATGAAAATTTTGCTCGTGAGGGATTAATGCTTAGTATTTTATTTTTTTCTTTTTTGGCGATTGACACAGAAAAGTTTTTTGTGATTTTTTTTTTTAACAAATTTAAAACGTAAATTATTATTTTCAGTTAATTATGCGTCGTTAGCAAATTAAGGCATCGAAAAAAAACTACTTTTTCGGACCACCTCCCACCCTTGCCATGACCTCATTATAGATCGACCCCTTAACATATAAAATGTTGTGAAATGAAAAAATCATTAAATTTTACCAAGTTTAACAATTTTAAAAAAAGAACTGAATTTCCAAAAAATATAACTTAAATTTAAATTAAGAAAAATGGATTTTAAATTAAAAATTTGAACTTAAGTTTAAAAATATTTCTTTAAACAATTTAAGTTTTAATAAATTGTTTTTTTTTTGCTAAGAATCAAAAATTTTAACAATTAAAAAACATACGGCCTGTTTCACTAAAGTGGATTATCCTCGATTTCGGATTATCCACTTCAGTTTTTTGTAAATATCTTAAACTTTATGGAAGGTGTGGTATTTCTAATTTGGGATTATAATAGAGTGAACCATACCTGAAATTTCTGTATACTTTTAACTTTTACTTTTTGTTAAGAAGTATTAATTATTCAATTTTCTGGCCAAATCTAGTAGATTAACTTCGATTTTTGCTATAATTCTCAAACTAATGAAGATATAAAAAAAGTTCATAAAAACATTTGAAATTTTTGAAATTATATTTCAATTTAGATAAAGTTTTTACTTACTAAATAGAAATAAGAATTTATATTTTTAAAATTTAAAAGATTGATAAAACATTTCTTAAAAAACGAAAAACAAAAATTTTAAATCTTAAAGTCAATTTTAAACACCGGTGAATTCCTAGTTGTTTTTCTGAATCAAAAAATCTTTAGAATTGAGACTTTTCTTGCGAATTTTTAGATGTTAAATTATCCAAAAAATAAAAGTTTAAAAAAAGTTATCAACTCACTCCATTTTCTCGGGAAAACTATTCTTCTCACAATTTGATAACAGATCAACTGAGCAATAAAAAAAAGTACATCGGGAATCTTCACTAATTGAAAGTGAAAATAAATAGTGAGAAGTACAAAAAATTCTCTCAACCTTGATCAAAAACATCTGCTCTCGCCAAACATCCACATAAAGACCTCAAATGATCATTACTCATTAAACGAACAATATTTTTCTTTCATTTCTTGTTCCTCTAACATTGCGCACATTAAAGGCTTTAGTAGTTAGTATTTGACTGCCTAGTAAGCAAGACGCGATTAATCTACATCGTTTGATATTTTTCTCGTTTACGTTCAGAACACATTGTTGTCGCAGATAAAAAAAAATAACTGTCGATTCTGCGAGTTTTTTTTAAATGTAGAATTAACTAAGCTCATTAGAATATTATTAAGTGATCAAGTTATTATTAAACAGCTATAAGGTAATTAAGAAAATATTACACTTCAATATTTTTTAAAAATATTTGTAACTAGGCATTGTGGAATATTGTGCATGAGAGTGTGAAAAGTTTAAATTAAAATTCGGCAATATCATTAGTTTAAGAAGAAAGACGAAGACCACGTAAAAAAAAAGTTTTGTAATTTTTAAGAGTTGATTGGAGTATTTTTTTCATTGGTGCTTATGATATGTAAGCAAGTCGAAATGTTGTGAAATATTAAAAATTGTAAGATGAAATTGCATAAATACCTTTTTCATTGTTAAGTTTTTGAGGACATCTCTTCATTATTGAGGTATTTAATAATTTGATTTTGAAGATGTTGATCATGAAGTTGATATTTTGACATCCAAAATTAGTTTCAAATAGATTAAGATCCTTTTATATCCGCTGTTAACAATTAATTAAAAATCAATTTTGATGAGGAAAATAACAACATTAAAGGCTAAGTCTTTGTTTAATTTGTATAAATCTTTAAGGGATCGTTCACTTATGACGTCCGAAATTAACGGCCATTTTTCAAAAAAGAACAATGGATTTCCTGGAATTTCTATTGTTCTTTTCTTGCTGACCCCCCCCCCCCCCCCCCCCCCCTGGACGTCATAAGTGAACGGCTTCTAATGTTATAACTTTAAGAATCGTTTGTAAATGCAGAACATGTTCTTAAAACTTGTAGCTGGGGAATAAGACTAATTAAATCATGTTTTAACATTTTAAAAAATGTATTATGTATTAAACAAGATTCATTTTTAAAAGGAATTTTAATTTTTTCTCAAAAACCAATAAGAAAATGAAGAAGTATTCCTATTGAATGGCGTTTGTCCTCAAAACGTCGTATTAAATTTCGGTTTTAGATCATTATTGATAATTTGTCATAAAAGTTCTCTTAAAATGATTTTGAAAAAAAAAAATCACACAAAAAATCTTCATCAAATGCCAAGTATCTCTCAAATAGCCAATTCAGCAATTTGCAAAATGTTTGAATTCTGAATTACGTACAGCGAAGTTGGCACTACCAATTATTATGGAATAAAATTATATAATTCGTTTAATAACAGTGTCCTTCAAATTTAAGAAGAATAAAGAAGTTTTAATATACAATTTGCCAAAAAATACTCTCGTTCATTGCTTAATGTTGTACCAAACATACCAAATATCATGCAATTACTTAAAATTGCCAATGACTCCAGGACAAAAGCTCTCTAAACTTCTTCTTAAAAGCCTTCCTAATTCACAAAATCAATTATTTCTTCAAGGCTGCTATGCAAAAAAAAAAATACAAGATCAAATTTTCGTAAATATTCGAACACTGCACTGTGTTTAATTACTTTTGATCTTTCACACTTGTTGATTTTTGGAAGTGGAAGTGAATTTTAATAGACAACCTTAATTAGAGAGAAATAGTTTTCTGTGTTATGAAATTAATAAATTTAAAAGTTTAATAATCTCAAATTTTTGTTGAATCAATAGATTTTATTTGAAAAATAGATCAGGTTCATAAACTATGAACTAGGATTTATGAGTTTACTATTGGTATCAAAACTTAATTACTTACATGCAATATTGTTAACGTCTTCAAACTCGTGGCATAAAAATTCAAAAACATTTTTATATTTTGATCGAAGTTTTCAGATTATTGCTATCCCTGTAATGTTGAAAATGACCTAGCTTACTGACTTCAACTCTATTCTTGTAGCTATTTTAATCTTATAATTCTATCTCTCTAGTAAAGCGCATAATAGAACACTTTCTTTGACATATCTAAGAATCATATACGGTAAAACTAGTGTTATCTAGCACCCAGGTTTTTAGCCTGTAATTTTACACTACTTCTTAATGGTCAACTCCATAATAATTTGGTTTCAATAAATATTCACGCCTTTCTTTAATTTAGGAAAAATTCGAGTTATAATTTTGTGTCCAATTATCCTCCCATATTCAAAAATTCAACTCATTCACTCTCCACAAAGGCTGTGATTTAATAATTCAAAAACGATAAATCAATACCTTTAAGAATAATTCAACAAGAGCAAAGCCACACAATGAAGGTCAAATTAAACATTCATTACAGATGTATAAAAATTTTTTATTTCTTTTCAACCTTTACGTATTGTGATTTTTCACTGTCAATGTCGTGACTAATCGGCGTATATACGATAAAAGTACACATGTACATATGACATCACAAGTGAGCACAAAATATTGCGTAATTTTGTCAAACAAAAATGTAAATATTGACAAAATGAGTTTATCGAACTTGATACTCAGCTTACATTCGTTGTGATTTGCTGCCTGAAAAATAATCATGCTGACTTCCTCATAGAGAAATAATTAGTTCATTGATTAAGTGATCCATTCTTTGTTTCGAAAAGGGTAAACCAAAGGTCTTTAAACAATAAAAGAAGATGAGTTATTGTCTTGTGGTATGTTCACAAATGACGTCTATTCAAAATATTTTTTATGAATCTTTTAAAGCATCAAATGTGTCAGAAAATGTTTTTTTTGTTGTATCATGATCGGGCTCATGAAGAAATAATTGACGTCTTTTGCGAATATTGTCAGAATTGTTTATCGAATACTTCCATTAAAGTTTATACCATAAGCCAATTACAATTCATTTGAAGTCTAAGTTGCGTGCTAAATATGATACTTTTAAGTGTTTCTCTAATACCCGGCTTCAACTTTATTTGCTGTTTGTCTAAAAATGTGTTTTTTTCTGCAAATCATGGTTCTATTTAGATCTCTCATGCGTAGCCGCTAGATATATTGTTTAATTTAAGAGCCTTTTCATATAATGAGAAAAAAATAATTGTAAATGAAATGTTGAGTAATTTTGGAGTTGGCAATTAAATATGAATTAAATTGGATTTGGATTTTTTAAACTAGCTTCATTTGAATGTTTTTGACAAGGTCATTATCTAATTTAAAAGAGTTGGAGGCAAGACGGTGCAATGAAATTGAAATGTTTTTTACTCTAGAAATAGTGAGAGAATTAATTGACTAAAGAATTTTCTCAAAAATTGATCAAAAATAAGGAAGAAGATGAAGTAGAAGAAGAGATATAAAACTCTCGCTTTAGAGCTTCAATAGCTTTGCCACTGGATGGAAGCAGAGTTCGTAGTCAAGCTTTAAAATTGAAGATTTTTATTAAAATTTTAAGAAACTTCAAAAGGTGTTTGAAATAAATTTTTTTATATACGAAATAAATGAACGACCCAACGTAATTGTAGACTGGTAAACATAATCAACTACTAATGAAAAAGTAGCATTCAATTGTTATGATCGGTTTAAAAAATAGGAGAAGACGATTTTAACCCTGTTCGACCTTTGGTTATTTTTTTTGGATTCCTTCTTTTCCTTACTACAAAAAATAAATTGAAGTTTTATATTTACAGTTTGTTCCATCAACTTGGATTTACCAAGAATATTGCTTTGAAGGTCATAAGATCAAATTATAAATTTCATAGCCAAGCGTATAAAGCCCACGTTTCTAAAATTTTAACATTTTTTTTGCAATTTTGATGACATCTTTGGGAATCTCCACAAGTAGAAATCAGCCTTGATTAATTTCGATGTATAACTTTACTTAAATTTATTGTCTGATTCTATGACTTTATAAATTTTTGACATTCTTAAGATGCTTCATATTCTTTATCACATTCTCATCAGCATTACTAATCCTTTAAACTCACTAAATTAATTCTTCTCAAAAAAATTTCAGTTTCTTTTAAGTTATCAAAATGCCGGAGTCTGTGATAGTTTCCCATACATTAGAGCTCGATTTTCCTGCTGATCTCGAGGAAAATGCAAGAAATATTGGAGAAGATCAAGACAGAGTCTGTGAATTATTGCAGCAATTTAAGGATTTGATATTTGAAAGAGGTGATTGTAATCCGCATCGAATGGACGATGACTTTCTCATACGGTTTCTTCGTGCGCGATTTTGGAAGGTCGAAAATGCTTACAAATTGGTAAGAAAACGGTTATTAATTGTTTAATAAATTAACAGTCACTAATCTATTGTTCGTCCTTCAAATAGTTAAGTCGGTACTCAAATTTTAGAGGTAATAACATGCATTGGATCGATAAAGTGCATCCATTGTCCTTAGAAATTCTTGGTGAAGAAGATATTATGACTATAACACCGTATCTCGACCAAACAAAGAAGAGAATGATGATATTTAGGGTGAGAATATATCTTAAAAATTTCAATAAGCACATTGGTTTTGTGACTAGATGTACGGCTAGTTCTGCTAAAGTATTACATTATGTCGATACTTTAATGGTTATTTGATGACATGAATGCTCATCATCGATTAATAATTGCATACCACACACCAGTTGTATGCCAAAATGTACTTCTTAAGTTTAGATCTTAAATTTAAATTTTTTTATAATCGTTCTAGTTCGGCAATTGGAAACCATCAAAAATCCCAGTCGATGAACTTTTCAAAGCAACATTAATTTGTCTTGAAGTTGGAATTATGGAACCACGTGCTCAAGTTAACGGTGGTGTTGGAATTTTTGATATGGACGGTTTCGGATTAAATCATACGCTTCATATGTCCCCAACAATAGCACAGAAAATGATCGCAATGATGGTTGTAAGTATTAATACCCGACCTTGAATTTATAAATATTTAATGGTAATTTTTTTATTTTCAAGACTTCACTTCCTTACCGAACAACGGCACTTCATATCGTTAATCAAGGTTGGTTCTTCGACGTAGCTTTTGCATTTTTTAAGCCATTTCTAAACGATGCAATGAAATCGAAACTTTATCTTCACGGATCGAACTTTAAATCTCTCCATAAACACATTGATCCAACTAACTTACCAAAGAGATATGGAGGCGTAATGGAAGATTATTCATATAAACCATGGATCGATCATGCTAAAGCAAATCAACGGGTAATTAAGGAATTGGAGCTTCATGGATATTGCACGGATGAATTTTTAAACACTGAAGAATAAAAATAAAAAATGGTGTGTGAAAAAGCGTGTAAAATTTTTTTGAATAAAAACTGAATCTTATATCTTTATAGTGCTATAATAAACCACTGGTTCTCAAACATTTTTTCAGCAATAACAACGAGAAGTCAAACTGTTTTTTTAAAATCATTCTGAAATTGACTATGGTTTTACTGTTTTATTGCAATGCTTTCATATTTATAATTTTGCTAGGGACTATTTTTTTAAATACTAAATACTGAAAATATATAAAAAATTTATGTTTTGAGGAATTTTGAGTATTTTTGTTAAGTTTCTCATCGTAACTGTATACTTAATTTTAACGTTTTTTTTTCTTCTTCTTGTTTGAGCTTTAATCAGCATCTTATCGTCACCAAAATCGTAAATCTTTGACTCATTTTCCTTCTCTGATTTACTGATCTTTTTAAACGTCACTTACTTGCTGTTTTTTTTACATCACTACCTGCCTTTTTACGTTCTTTTTCAATGATTAACTGGATAGCCAATAAATTAGGAGTATTTGGTGACAACTGACTTGATCTTTGATTCTTCCAAATATTCAGTCTGGCCTTTTTTGATTTTAAACAATCTAAATACCAAATCCTGAAGATTTATCAACACCAGTAGTTGAGAAATTACTCTCAAACGTGTTGCTATTATCACCCAATTAAAACAAGAAACATTTTTGCTGTATTTTTCCTCCAAAATGTCAGAAATCCAATTGCAGGAAAAAAAAAATTTGGGCAGGACGGTGGGGCATTTTCTAATTTAAAAGATACAAGAAACCTAAAAATGGAATAAAAAAAATTATTTAAATTATCAGGGAAAGTTTACTTAATGTTTGTTGACGTAAATTTTTTTCATTTAATTTCACTTTATGCTGAGTTCATCAAGATTCCTGGTGGATATGGCGATGCAGAACTTGAAGCTGGTGATACATCTTTATAGTGTCTGTCTAGTCAGACGTTGAGAGAATTCCTTTATCCAAAACCTTCAAGCATGTGGTTTTATGCTTGAATGATGTGTGATTGATCTTTGTTAAAATTAGGCAAATATGACTCAATCCATAGCTTACATCCAGTTGCTCATTTTGTTCAAGTCAGAAATTCGATTAAATTCAGCCTCTCCTTCATGTTCTTAGTAGTATGGCTCCATAAACTTGGTTCGTGTTACTTTTGTCGCCCAATTAAGATCAGATATATTTTTACTGTATTTTGCACAAAATTGTAAGGATTCCAAGTGCCAAAAAAAATTTTGGGCAGGACGGTGGGGCATTTTCTCATTTCAAAGGTATAACAAACCTAAAAATGGAATAAAAAAAATTATTTATTTGTTATATGATTGTTGGTTCAGACGATGCTTCCTGTAGAATTAAGCTTGAATTCGTGCTTGGCTGGAAAAAATGAATTATAAAGAATTGTTATCATGGAGAAAAAGTGAGAATAAGCATGAGACAATTTTTCTCAGCAGAGACAATTTTAGTCAAATGATTCCATTTTTCGTATAAAGAGAACGAGTATAAAAATAAGATGGAGTATTTTCAAGAAAACGGAAGGATCATAGTGATGAAGAATTAAAGTAGCAATAACTTACTCCTTGTTCCTAGTAATTTTGCTTCCAGAAATGTTTCACGATTCTTTTAAGAACCGTCCTTGAGTTCCAGTAAAGGTCCTTTTAGCTGGTTTTTGATGAATTTTCAAGTACACATTAATTTTCATTTACACACCCATATTGTACGAGGGATGAATGAATTGGTAGATAAACTTAATTTGATTTTTGCAAAATTATATTTAGACAAGCACAATAATTGATGACAATTAATTTCAGCTGTTGTTAATTGATGAAGTTTGGCTTCAACAGCTTCTGTAAAGTCAGAAAATTCTTGAATTAATGCACAGAGATTTAAAACTTGTGAAAATTGGAAATTATTGTCTGTTTTCTCATGATTTTCTCAAGTAAACGCTGAATTTCGTTTCCACATACCTCTATAGCTTCTCGTGCGATTTGAGTTTTTTCTGATTTGGTTCTTCATTTTTTTGCATCCTTTTTAGTGCTTCTGAATCCTACGATGATTTTATTTCTGATAAACTGCATGTAATCTTTTCGGATTATATATTTTTCCTCGTTTCTTGTTATTAATTGATGTCTGTAATGAATGCTCGATTGATTTGATACATTAATGTTGAGCTTGCCTTTTAATGAGATGTCTTCATTCTATTCTTCAAATCTGTTTTTTTTTATCGCCGAAAATTTTTTTTGGATTCTTCATTAAGTTGAGTAATTATCGCAGAATATGCTCTCCTTGTAGCTCCTTGTCTTCATCCTCATCTTCTAAGCTGTCTTTAGTATCCACGTGAAGGTGTTCTATTGACTCATAACAGTTACAGTATAAAGGTAGGCTAAATTTTTGAAGAAAAGAAAGAAAAAAAAGAAAAGAAAGAAAGAAAGAAAATAAAGGAAAGAAAAAATAAGGAAATCATTAGTTATAATTTAAAAATATATAATTAGAAAAATAATAATCTTCTCTGCTTGTTTAGTGGTTGTCGGTGGATTCGCTCCAGTTGAAGTTATTTCCTTTCTCCTTTTTGTCTTCATCTTTATCTTCCTCCTTTGAAGTAATCTCTTGAATTCTTTAAAAAAAAAGGGAATAAAAAAATTAATTGATTGAACAACTTGAAAGCAACAACTTGATTGAAACTTGAGAAAGTTGAAATATTTTACTGAAACTTACTTGAATATTATTGCCATGAACAGACAATAATGTTTCCTACAACGACAGGAATATTTTGATGGAGATGAAATCTTTATTCATCTTCATGTAGGTGCCTATTTTTCTTTGAAAAATTTCGCAATGATAAGGAAACCTACATGATTCTATTATAGGTTTTGCCGAGCTAAAGGCATGCATAAGATAGATTGTGCCTAGACATAGAGAAAAATTGTACCTAATTCTAGGTAGTTCCTATTGCTAGTTATTGCTTTTGACAAGGCGCACTTTTTTGTCTTTGGCTAGGCGTGGCTATACATAAATGTTGCCTAGACAAAATGAAAAGCTACCATGCTCTGGTGAAGCATATTTCCAAAGATACCTAGCTTCCAACTCTGTCAAGAAAGCTTAAGTGTGAGATTGGACTAATACAATCGCTGGGTTTTGCTGATGACGCCAATATGATTGGAAGGAATATCAGATCTAAAACTCAAGAATGGAACGGGTGACGAGAATGGTTCAACGAGGAAAAGACAAATTACTACATGGATGCTGCAACAGAGAGAACAACGACTTTATCTACCTAGGATCCATTATATGCAACAACTTTGACGGTGCTAAAGTTCTACGTTCATCTAAGTTAATAAGCAAGTAAGTAAAACTTACTATGAGCTTGATTCCAATTGCTTCCAAAAATTCAACATGATCCTTTGAAAATGCAAACTTTGTCCATTCTTCAATTCCATCGAAGGTCTTTTTAGCTGATGATGTTTTTGGTAATGATGATGATTATGTATTGTACTAGCACTAGTAGCAGCTTCATTAATTACCCATGATTATTGCTTAATTTCACGAATTGAGAGTCCTTTAAAACCATATTGTATGTATTTAAATTATTTCCTAGAGGCTCACACTTTTATGAAATCGCCAGCACTTAAGACCATCCGAACAGGCACTTTCTTTCATTCATACATGCTTGATTCTGATTTTTTCAAAACAGATTTCTTCTTCTTTTACGTTCAATATTTTCGACCATAAAATTCTCAGCGCCATCGAATTTTTAAATTGTATATTGTTCCTTTGTCCTATGATATAGAGTCATCATGCTCTTCATTATTTTATGTCTCCTTCCTCCTTCATTTATAGATTTTTTTTGTTCAAAATAATTTTTTCAATGTTTTGAACTTGATGAATTTAAAAAGAAGAAGATTTTTTCAAATGTTGCTTCGACATGTTTTTTTTTATGATGAAGAAGTTTAACTGACTGAATCAGATGTATTTTTGGGATGGCAGAACCTTTTTCGTGAAAATTTGTTAAAAAAAAATCAGATTATGAATTTTTAAACTATGTGATTAAATTTGAATCGTTTAATTAATTTTGAAGAATTAAATCGTCTCATAAAGAAATAAAATCAATTTTTAGCTTAAAGTGTATTAATACAAAGCTTATAAAAAGGTTGATAAAGCATAAAGCCCTCATCAAAAGATTGCCATTTTTATTCAATGAGATTTTGAATATTTCATAGACTAGGATTAAGTTTTCATGCTTTTGGGGCATTGAACGCAGAATATTTCATAGACTTGGATTAAGTTTTCATGCTTTTGGGGCATTGAACGCAGAATATTTCATAGACTAGGATTAAGTTTTCATTTACTTACTATTTGTTGACGTAAATGCTGAGTTCATCAAGATTCCTGGTGGATATGGCGATGCAGAACTTGAAGCTGTCTGACTAGACTTCAGACGTTGAGAGAATTCCTTTATCCAAAACCTTCAAGCATGAAGTTTTATGCTTGAATGATGTGTGATTGATCTTTGTTAAAATTAGGCAAAAATGACTCAATTCATACCTTATTTCCAGCTGCTCATATCCTTCAAGTCTTGAAATTAGATTTTATTCAGAATCCCCTTCATGCACTTAATAATCTGGCCCCATCAATTTGGTTCGTGTTGATTTTGTTACCTAAATAAAACCAGAAACATTTTTGCTGGATTTTCATCAAATTGTAAGCATTCTATGTGTTAAAAAAAAATTTGGGCAGGACGTTGGGGCAATTCCTAATTTTGAAGACATAGAAATCCTAAAAATGGAATAAAAAAAAAATTATTTAAATTATCAGGTAAAGTTTACTTACTATTTGTTGACGTAAATGCTGAGTTCATCAAGATTCCTAGTGGATATGGCGATGCAGAACTTGAAGCTGGTGATACATATTTCTTAGTGACTGTCTAGTCAGACGTTGAGAGAATTCCTTTATTCAAAACTTTCAAGCATGTGGTTTTATGCTTGAATGATGTGTGATTGATCTTTGTTAAAATTAGGCAAATATGACTCAATCCATAGCTTATCTACAGTTGCTCATTTTGTTCAAGTCAA